ACGTGTAGGGACACAAGAGCCAGCCGTCGGTCGAGTCACTGTGCGGAGCGCAGCTTAGGGAGGCTATGGATGAGAACAGAGTTCCAGTTAAATGCCTAGCGGAGGAATCACTACGTTCACGAAACATATGAAACGAACGATCAATTCTATAAGATGATCCGTCTGACTAAACATTACCCTCCCTCCCCCCAGCTCTACGCCTACTGCATCTGCTCTAAAAAAAGTGCACCAGCGAATATAATTCGATTATTCCCATTTTGAAAAGTCAGACACGTAGCATAAGTAATAGCTCTCCGTAATTGGCATGCAACCATCTAATTGGCTTATTACGGTCCTATCAAAATCTGTCCTCTAGTGGCAGGACGTAAGAGCAGGTAAGACCTGATTGGTCTCAAAATGACCAACTAAACAATGCCAGAGGTCGAACCGACAAAAAGAATGAACATCGGGATTGCAGCTATTTCGGGCTCATGTAATGCCCCCTCCCGTCATTAATAACACAAATCAACTCTTAAAACTCTAGCTCAGTATTGATATACAGGAGATTTATTTGCTCGTTAAATATCATGCATTTCACAAAAAAATCCCTGTTTCACAAAATCAGCACATGCGGCGAACCCCGAAGACTTCCAGCAGTGAAAAGGTGACTGTTGGTAAAAAGAATGTATAATGTGACTTAGAAATTAATATAACACTGATCAAAAATGACGCTTTTTGAAAAAAAACGAGAAGTTCTGGAAACTTGAAAAATCGCTGTAGCTCAGTAAAATTGAGTATCAAAGGTAGATGAGAGTTGTCTAGGCGAAATGTCCAGTAAATAAATCAGCACAAGTAAAAATGCATTCGAAAATATTCCTTCAATTGAGTTTGCGCTAAAATCTCCTTCAAGAATAAGTGTATTTTATAGGATCGCCGCTACTATGTAGCCTACATTTCGAGTAGAGATTCAAACACGGGTTCACGAGAATCTGTTGTAATTTTTCCCGTTTTTCATTGCTTGAGATGCGGAGGAGTAAGGTTAACAGGTATTCGCGCCAATAGAGAACTCAAAGGGAAAAACATTTCATATGCCCACATCTTGATAGGCCAGTCAGCGACTAGTAAATATAAATATAATTGGAATGGGTCCGACAAAGCAAAGGGAGAGCGGAATGGCTATTTCTGGCTTGTTAGCCGTCATCAGCCAGTCACACCAATCTCAAGGGTTGGAACCCCCGGGATTCGAATCCGGGACCTTTGGTCATTGAGTTTGCCACTATACCATTGCACCACGGGTTTGTTGCTTTTTCGCTTGAGCTCCTAAGCGAACCGGAAGCTAATTGTTCCTCCACCAGATCAGTGAAGCCCATATATTTATCATATTCCCGATCTCAACCGACAAAGCAACGAGCCCGTGGTGCAAGGTTTGAGTAGCAAACTCAATGACCAAAGGTCCCGAATTCGAATCTCGGGGGTTCCAACCCTTGAGATTGACTGTGACTGGGTGATGGCGGCTAAAAAGCCAGGAATGGCCATCCGGGTTTCCCTTTGCTTTGTCGGATCCATTCCATCCTATCTTCGTGGTCGCTATGGGACTGCCTACGCGGGATGTAATTTTGAGCTCCTAAGCGAAGCGGAACTTAGTAGTTCCTCTACCAGATCGGTGAAGCCGGTTGTCCGGTTCAATACTAAGCCTACTAATTTGGTTCCATTACAAAAATTTCCCTTCGATATTGGATTACGTCCTTGAAATAATTGTGAATACTTGACGATTTTCGATGCTTTCCATCGATTGCCCATAAATGTGAATTCTGTTCCACGTGTTTTCCAAAGCATTTGGAATATTGTATTCCTTAAAAACATCTAACGCCGTAGCGACTTCTTGGACATTCTTTCTAATGCATATAATCTTTTTGGGTCATATTCGTAGACTCACCCAAACATGAAAACTCATCAGCGAAAAAACAACAAGCGTGGGCAAGAAAATGCCTCATATCATTTTTTTAAAACGCTCACGAATAAGTTTAATCATTTTTTAAACGCTTTACTTGTCTGCATTGATTCAATCTCTGATAAAGTTAAAAATTTGGTAGTTTTAAAACCTGTAGAGTTGGCAGCGTTAGATATAAAACTCGCAGTTTGAAAGTTTTCATCATCCAACAAGGCCAAAAGAACACTCCGTCCTCTACAAAGGACACTTTTTGTCGTTTACTATCAACTGGGTAGTCCCCCTGGTAGAGAAGGATATGGATTAAGTCTTGCTCAACCGGCAAGTTACGACGCAGCATGACAACTAAAGCCACGCCCCTCCCCCCCATGATAAAGCACTTTTGAATTGTGTGCGAATCCTACTTCTCATGATCTGCCTCAACAATTGTGACAACTCTCAAGCTAGAAACTACCTGATCACATTATGCGTTCTTGTGGACTACACCTACATTTTTAATGCATATGCCTGACTGTGCACTTTGCGAACACATTAGAGTCAATGACCTCAGAAACTGCCAAAGAACGCATCGCACAGAAAGCACTTGAGCATTGCTGGTAGAGCATGATGTTCATTTAGCTGGGGAAGAGGTATGGATTGAGCTGCGTTTTAAGGAGCTGACAATTCACTGGGTTCAGCAGCCAATTCTTCCTTTAGCAAGACAGATGCATTTGGTGTTTATAGACTTGAGGACAACAGTCTCTCTAAATCCAAACCTGTTAGGCCACTTGCGTGAGGCCGGAGAAAGAGATTGACC